CCAGCGCCCATATTCTCATTCATAAGATCACAATCCCAGATCTGGTAACCCCGCATCCGTAAAATTCATGTCCATATCTATATTCATAGCACTCCAATCTGGGTTCACATTCGCGTTCGCGTTTACGTTCGTCTCAACTGTCTTGTTGGTAGCCATTTGTTGTGTTTCTGCTACGAGCTGGGTTTCCACTTGTGCCAATCTAGCTTCCAACTCCTTCATATTTCTCCTCTTCGTTCCTATATTCCTCCTCCTCTCGGGGTATTCGCACTCGTGTCTTAGTCTTCCACATGTTCCACATTTAGGCTTTACTCGATCGCATTTCAATTTCCTACGTCGGCAAGACACACATGATATTGTTTTCTCGACACCTTTCTCTTTACCTTCTCCCGGCGCAGCGTCAATTCTATTCGTTTGCGGCGCGGCTTTCTCGTTGCCAAATGAGGCCGATTCCTCATGCTCGGAGGATGTCGACATTGCAAAGCTCCGACAGCGCGTATATGAACATAGATAACGGACAGAATCGTATCGAATTGTGAAGGAATGTTATCATAACATGAACTCCGGGGATCTCGTCCAACTGAGCCTTGGGCATTTTCGTGGAAAGCAAGCCTAAATTAGATTAATAAGATAGAAGAAATAAGGTTTCACAGATCAAATAATCCTTGTTGCATTCTCGACTTGACAACGAAATCGAGTTTCCTGCCTTGGACTAAGCCAAAGGATGTCTAAACTTCGGAAAATATAAATATGGAATTTCACGTGCTTTTGTTGCACATCTCACTTGAAATGAATAGGCTATTCCGGAAAAGCCTGAAGTTTTGTAATTTTAGTGCTTTCAAGCCTGTAAATGCCTGTGTCTGATTGGGATAATGCAAACATCCTCCACTAAATTGACTTTTCCGGCCAAGCCCCAATCTACTAAATTATACCGTATTTGGCTCCATGAAGTCAGGCTTGTTCTTCAAATCACATAAGCATTCAAAAGTCTTTTCACCTGCCAACAATTTGTCATCAACGGAGAAAAGAAGATGTCGGAGAAGTGATGAAGGGGTTGAATTGGCTGAAAAGTCATGCCATGTATGCTTTTAGACGTTGAAAGCCCAAATCTTACCAATCCATACCACTCCCTTTCATTCATTATTTTCCTATCATAATAGAGGAATGTCATGTGGTTTCTTCTTTTCGGTGAATACCAGAAATAAATCAATGGTCCATTTGGTAGTTGCCATCCATGCTAGAAGTATATGAACTGCTAAAGCCATTCCCCGGCCATCTGCAAACATAGCATTATTTAATTATTTTCCACAGGAGACGATTCCTGAGGTCATTACTAAGTAGTATTTGACCACAGAATAGAGCCAAATTAACAGGTGATATAATCGTCAGAGTACGCTAGGCTGCCTGTCTGATTATCATCGAAGTTGGTCCTCATAGCAAATCTGCTTACTCACAAGAAAAGAGTATACAGCTACAAAACCTATGCGCTTTTTAATGCAATCGATTTTGCTGTTTTTAATTCAATGACTTGCAGAAAAGGAGCAAGTGCTCTCAAGTATGTATCATGCAAGCAAGAACAGGAGATACGACTTTAGTAATGTCTACAAAATACACCCCTTGAATTCTTAGAACACTTGAGTATTCGTTCCAAGGATAAAATAGAAGTCTATTGACGGCAGCAAGTATGTCTTGGGAGTAATGGATTGATTTCGCTGTTTATAATCTCGAATGAAGGAATGATTACTTTCATCTATCTATCTTGTATATCCGACGTTCTTTCCTTTCTCTAGTTCACGTTTCCCTCTTCATCTTCCTCTGCTTTGTTCTTCTCTGCAATTTGCGTTACAGAATGATATAATAAACCTGCTCACTGCATTACCTTTATGATCCTTGATATGATGTTGTGCCAGAGTTTATTGTGATGTCTATTAATAACTGAGCGGACTTGTGAATAAAAAACAGAAATCTCCGTCAATACAATAATTATTCCCAAGCAGACGGTCCCATCATCTGGACAGATGTGTTTAAATACAAATTCACCAGGAACTAATTAATGTACAATAAACACACTACCCCAAAAGTCACGGAGGTCAGGATTTGGAGTCACGGATATCAATCAGAACCAGTGCAATCACCAATCCAAATTCCCAAAGCGGAGCAGGATTACACTGTTCCAGGTGTGAAGATAAGATGAAGAATGAGACACTGTTTTCGCGCGTTTCATGCGATACTATTCTAAACCTGTTGAGATTTGAAATACGAATTGCCGCGACCTATAAGTGAAAGGAACAATTGGTCCTCGTGTTGTTCTCCTGTCTCTCTCGACATCCCTTTTCATAATGACAAGAAATGATTATCCAACCACAACATCAATTGCGGTAACCACAAAATCCCGAATAGCAACCACATCATAGACGGTCACTCATAGCTCCTTCCCATGTGCATAGCGTCCCGTTCTCCCCATACTAACCATACCATCTCACATACACTATAATCCAATCTCCAAAAGAGAGAGAGAAAGCGAGGAATCGTAACATAACGCCCTCCCCCGTCGGGAACCACCTCCTCCATCTAGCCCTACGATCCAGACACAACATATCAATTCATCCACCCAGCCATCCAACCAACCAACCGCATTTGTCACCAATCACCACTACCGGTATCCCCCAAGAAACCCCACACCCCACACCCCATACCCCACTGAACCCCTAACACCACTTACAGGCCACCAACATCTACACTCCACTCCACAAATCTATCTACAATAAACGTTAAGAATGCTGCGCAATCCAGCCCCATCCAAAACACTCTACTCAACTCCCCCCCAAAAAGCCACCCCAAATTCCAAGTTCAGCTTCCTTCATCCCATCCCATTCCACACCCAATCCCAGTCCACCGCACTACATCAACGATACTCTACAATTACCCCCTAAAATCCCCTTACACATCCCACCCCATTCCCTCCACCCACAACAACCCACCCACTCTTATCCATTACCACCAGTAATATTGATTTCCCCTCCCCTCCTATCCTACCTTATAGAAAGGGTTAAGCTCATCAGAATTTACCATTAGGAGTAAAAAAAAAGTGATCAAAAAATTTCCAGAATGGAAATGAAAAGAAATAGTCGAAGTTGAGACTAGGAATGAAAAGGAATAAATATTCCAAAAAGTATTCAAAATATATAAATATAATTCAAAATAAAATTATATAAACTTTCACTTAATCAATTATATAATTCATCTAAATACATTTTTTGAAAATTTATTTTCATTCAATTCAATTTCAATTTTTTTAAGAAAATTTCTCATTTTTTCCCCGAGCTTTGTAAAACCAGAATATCAAATCCCACCCAAGAAAACATCATACCCCTCCTTCCCTTTCCTTTCCTTTCCTCTCCTTTCCTTTCCTATCCTACCCCTAAGGATAAGAAAGAGCATCATATTTCAACTATTAGGAGTAGGAGAGGAGAGGAAAGGATGAAGAGGGAAGGGGAAATCAAGACCACTGATTAGCCACCGCGATATAAATCATTAATTACCTGAGATTAATAAGATTAGTTTATCACTTTTAGAGTATATACATACACATTCTACATTCTATGTACATCAAAAGAACAGAACATAAGTTTCCCAATCAGTTCATCAATAAATCAATCCATCCATCCATCCCCTGCAAAATCCCTAGCTAGTCCCCTCAACTCTTGAAATAAGGTTAAACCAGCAGACAGACACTCACTAAACCATTTCCAAAGTCCCATTTCCATAGCCGAGCCGAGCCGTTAAATCTAAACTTAGAACACTTAAGTCTTAAGTCTTAACACGGCTCGTCTAAACGGGTAGAAAATACCTAATCGAACATCCATCCATCCATCCATCCATCCATCCATCCATCCATCCATCCATCCATCCATCCATCCATCCATCCATCCATTCACTCACTCGTTCAGTCACTCACTCACTCACTGGATAGAAAAAATCACTACTAGTTCATTCATCCATTCCACAAAATATCAAAATAGTACAAACTTATAAATCCCCCAATTCTTCATCATATATCTTCCATCTCGTTTACACGCTACTTAGATAATCACCGCAGCTCTAGGTGCTCTAGCCTAGTAATCCAAACCATAAACGACAGGAAACAGGCCAAAAAAAACTACTATCTGCCATCGTGGTTCACATCATAAAAGATTATCTTCTATCCTACATCATTCCGTTGTCAAAAAAAATTTCCCC